GAAATAAGTAAAATGTTCTTAAATTAAGTGCATTCACTCTGAATCTGAGTAGGTAAATGAGATAGTTTGCCAATGGAATGAGTAGTTTTACTCTTAAAATAAGATAATTAGATAATATGCACTTGAAATAAGACAATGCAATTGTGTTTTCTTATTTTAAGTGTAAATTGCCTACTCCTGTGGATTCAATGCAGAGTTATTTCTCCAACATATTAACCTCTTTCTACCAGTTAGCAGGAAAAATTAAATCAAACTTTTGGAGCCTTTGATTTAAAATTAGACCTGATTTTCTGTGTTTTCTAAACAGGCAAGAAGCTCCTTCCAACGGATGTGTGGGACCTGTGAGGAGCAGCAACAGGTTTCCTCACCGTCTTAGCGAAACACTAATGAGCTCAGTTAAATCAGGAAAGCTTGTAACGGCTTTAGACTTTTCTCCTCCTCGGCATTTCTAACTTTGACTCGATCATCCCATGCATCTGAGCTTCTCCCATTTCCAAACTGTTTACCTCCTTCTGTCTCAGCCTGACAGAGGGGTTCAACCAGGAAGTAACTTGTCCAGTTTCTGCAGAGTCATGGTCCTTATAAGGCCTGAGGAGCAGCGTGGTCGACCCCGGCTGTAACAGCCAGGAGAGCTGCAACAGCAAAGCGTTGTTTTTTTTTTCCCCGGCACACATAAACAGGAATGTTTTAGGAGACGTGGCTAAGGAATGTTAGCGGAGACAAGAAGCCTCACCAGCAGACGTCCCTCCCTGTTAAAAGCTCTAAAGTAGAGTTCATAGTAACTGCAGGAAAAGTCAAACAGAAATTACAAATTTTGCTGATTTTGATTGATTTTTGCTCAGATCATTGGCGAAGCACCGCCTCCACACTAGAAAAACAATCTAGAAATAAGTAAAAATGTCTTATTTACCCTTAATTTGAGTCGGTAAGCATGATAGTTATCCAATGGAATGAGTATATTTGCTCTCAAAATAAGATAATTAGATGATATTTTCTTTAAAATATTCAATTGTTTTCTTATTTTAAGTGTAAATTGTCTTGTTCCATTGGCAAACTGTCTCTTTTATCTCCTCAATCCAAGAAAAAATCATTTTAAGAAAAGATGACTCATCTAGATTTCAAATTTTTCCAGTGCAACCTTCCTTTCCTGTGTAATTATAACATTAGCCTCTCTGCAAATGCACGACTAATCCAATAGTAACAGCTTAAAAAGTTTACAGTATCTAGCATTTGTATTAACAAATGTTTTTTTTAAGACGGTGGAAGTCTTAAAAACTAGCTAGAGCTACAAGCTAACTAGCGATTAGCTTGAGGGGTTTTGTAGACCAGCTAATCTGGATTGAAAGTAGCCAAGAGAGTAATCCACTGCAGATTAAATATGAAAGGTTTAGAACCTTTCAACAGGTCAATTTAAAACTATTCCCTTAAAATCATATTTAAATAAATTGACCACAGCTTTAAATGAGTTTAAAAAGTCAACACTGTCTGAGGTCAAAATATCAGTTAAATTTTGATTTTAAAAGTGCATTTAATGCCGTATTAAAACGTTGGCTGTAAAGATTGGATTGAGCAAGGTTTAAATGGTTTCAAAATTTTCATTTTTTTATTGGTATTTAGATTTTATTTCTCATTTTAATTTCTATTACAGTTTCATTTATAGCTAGCATAGTAAACCTAGCATGTCCAGTTATATGATGTAATAGCTAGCAGTTTTTGTTTAGTTTTTATTAGTTTCAGTTATAATTTTATCATTTTATGTGATATCACTTACATACCAGGTTTAAGACTTTAAAAAAAAAGGACAAACTGCTGCAGCAACACAAATGACCAGAGTGCTGCACGGCTGCCGGAAACTTCACCTCATATTAACTGCATTATGATTAAAACGATCGAAAACTAAGAAAATTCTCTCATTTTCAGTTACTTTTCATTTTTTTCAAGGTCTAGTTTTAATTTTCATTTAATTCTCTATTTAGTTTTTGTCATTTCATTAGTTTTAATTAAGGATGATAACCTTGGTGAGGGGGTAACTGAAGCCGCTGTCACAGCTTGATGATTTAGCCAGCGTATTCCTGACGTACGAAGGTTGATACGTTCTGGGTACGTTTAGCAAAAGTTATGAGCACACTGAATCATGCTGGCACACGCCAGCATACGTACGTCGAGAAATTTTGAGCATGTATGCCATACGTTGGCCATAAGTTACAGGTAAGTTATCTGATCGTTGACACACATTAATTGTAAGTTACTCATAAGTCATGGCGTCTAGCTTATCCTGAACCTCTGAGTAACTTGTGCATAACTTCTGCGTAACTTTTTAAGAACTTCTCTCCAACGCATATCAACGTATCTGACGGGTTCCAGACGAGCGCTGAACGTGTTTCTAACGTCCAGCTACAATGGTGTATTGGCAGCGTTTTGATATAGAGGGGGTTTACAGGAGGAAAATGTTAGCCTCGTGAGACCATCCTGATCTCGCGAGCTTTCAAGATTTCACTCGCAGATCAGGCTGGCAACTTTCCATTAAAGAAAATTTGGAGCCGTTCACCAAACGAACGTCCAATCAGCGTTGGCTTTGAGGCGGGTTGAGGTGTGACGCAACGAAAAGCGCAAAAAGCACAGTTCAGTCTAAAGAACATGGCGGCTTCAGCCGATGAAACTAGCGTTAGCGTGGCTATTGAGCAAGTTTTATCGGAATTACAGAGTATTTGTTCACTGAAAGAAGAGCAAAACACTGCTCTGGAGGCTTTTCTCAGAGGAAAATATGTTTTTGCTCTTCTCCCGACTGGTTTCGGCAAGAGCAGCAAGAGTAGCCTGGCTTGTGGTTGTGTTTTCGTCGTCGCTGTGTTAGTGCGTCATAGGCTTCGTTGATCTGATTGGTTTATTTGGCCCGTCTATCACCAACATAGGCCAATCAGCTAACCAGTATTTTCGCCCCTTCCCAAAATTACTTCAACGGAAGGTTTCCAGAAGGATACGCGGAGCAAATCCATCTAGTTGAGTCAGGTTAGGAAAACGTCAGTTCTCCTCCAGACTTCATCCCCATCATAGGGTGAGCCAGAGGGGAGTGTGATGGATCCTCTCTGCGATCACGACCACCAAGCCTCCTAGCAGCTAGCTAGGAAGTTTATTTTTCTCTTTATTTATTCGTTTTTTGTTTTTTTTTGACAGGCCATAAACAGCAGCTAGGTCAATGCCGCGATCAAATTAATCTTTTTATGCAGACTCCAGGCACATTGCTGCCCCCCTCAGGACATTAGACATAAGTTCTTGACTCGTTATGAATACTCTATACACCTGAAATTGAAAAAATGCGTAGAAAGTTCAGCATATGCCAGCGTTTTAGAAGATTCTGGGGCGTCAGGCGTACGCTGGCTAAATCGGTAAGGTGTGACAAGGCTCTCACGCTGGCACCATCTTCCTCAGTGAGTGCTTCTGTTTTTGAATAGAGCTTTACTCCATAGAAATGGCTTATTTTGGGACATACTGGGCGGGAAAACATTTGGGCTTCTTTTCACAGAAATATTTCATACTATTAACCAGCAGAAAGTAAAAAGTTTTCCCATGAAACATTTCTTTGCTCTCATATCAGGATGGAGAAAGCCTATAAGGGAGCGCCAACCAGGAAGGAAAGGAAATGCCTCCACTAGCATATTTTCCAGAGATGACGCTGCAGAGCCTGGTGTCTGCTGCTCGGCAGGAAAAGGTTGCATAAAATATTTTCTTTGCGGTTTGAAAAGGGCACCAGACCATCATGCAGTTCCCTCTCCCTGCTCAGAAACATTGTGTGGCCCAACAATCATAGGTGAAGTTTTACCGTGTAACAGAAATCCGCTGTAATAACACAGGTCTCAGTGGCTTTAAGCTCCAGGCACTTCAGAAAGGCATCATTAAGCAAGCAAAGCGCCACTAACAGCAGCCGCTCGCAGGACTAAAACCCAGTCAGCAGTTGCCACCATGAGAATTTGCATTACTGATGTTTTTCATCATAAAGTAGCACCATACTGAGACAAACCCAAACCATGTCCTCGCTCTGAAGCAGCAGGCACCTTCAAGTCTGATGGATATCTGTCTTTACAGAAAGGTGACAAGAGTCTTTTTACTTTTTTTTTTTTTAGAGGATTTCCAACCCTCCTTAAAGGTGCTTATTTGCTCTTACCACAGTGCAATTCAAAGGGTCCTTGACTATCTTTTTTTGTGTCCAATAATTTTAGAGAGCTTGGACAGGTGGGTCTACAGCAAAGACCACAGACAAAGGCAGAATAATAATAATAAAAAAAAAGAAATTCTCAAAAGCAGCACCCACTTGGTGGGCTGCTGCATCATCCAAAGCACAACAGAATCAGAACATCCACAGAAGCCAAAAATAGAGACTTATTTGCATCTAGATCTACGAGTGTTTTCCTCTATTGGTCATTGCAGTTCAGGAAGTTGCGCTACATAATAAGGTCAGGGGGCGAGCGGAGGGCGGGAGGAGGGCATCCCGGAAACTTTTTATCCCCGTTTATGAGTCTAAATGTACGGCGTGAATTTTGGTTCATTATTGTTGTGAGCAAAGAAACATATTTTTTTAAATGTAATTTAAAAATGCAATCCAGAAATGAAAACTTTGCTGTTTTCTCAGATTTTTGTTTTTCAAAATTTTATCTTAAATTTTATATTTCATGTTTTGTTTTTTTTCCAAAGGGAATCTTTTCCAAATTTTTTTTTACGGATGTTATATTAAAAATAACATTTTTCCATTTTGAGTTGTTCAAATTTCTATCTTTTCAAATCGTGTTTTATAGATTACATTTTCTGGAGTGAGGAGTAATGATGCTTTTCTATTAGTGTGCTGAGTGTTAACAACAGCATTTTTATTGGTCAATGTGTTTGTTTTGGGCTTAAAGTGAAGAGATTGTGATCTGAAAAACGGAATTTAAAACTAAAAACATTTGTAAAACTTAATATTTTAAAAAATTATAGAGAAAATCTAAAATCTGTGCAAAAAAACAAAACAAAATCTGAAACATAAATTTGAAAAGAAAAATCTGAGAGACAGCAAACTTACTTTCAAAACCAACGTTTTTCAAAGATTTCATTTCTGCTTTTAATTTTCTTTCAAATTTCAATTTACAAAATATTTTCTCTGCTTCCAACAAAAATTGGAACAAAATTAACTCCATACATTGAAGCCAAAGCAGAAAAACTGGTGGAGTTTCAGGCTTCCCCTCAGCTGCACGGTGATACTGTAGTTACAGCAACCATGACAACAATCAAAGGTTTTTTTGTTTCTTTTTCTTTAACATAGGCGGTGGTGATATTGGAGTGTTACAGTAGTTCACTTGTCTTTGGTCAGTTTGGTCTAAGGTGCCGTTTTCACTTTCGTTTTTACGCCTTGGTTTCATTTTGATGGGTGGAGATGATCAGAAAGAAACGGGGGGGAGAGGGTTTAGGCTTCTTTAACAAAGGGGCCTTTGTGTCCGTTTACTGTGAGTCGTTCATCGGGCGGGTCTCGTGTTTTAACACGCAGGACGGCGCCCGATGCAGCGACTGCATGGGAGCCTGGAGGAAGGAGAGAACACATCTACTTCTTTGTTTTCCCACACCGGGCTCCTCCCTCTTTCTTGTTTTTAAAACTTCCTCTGTCCTCAGATGCCCCCTCGCCCTCGGCTCACTACCGGGCCCCTGCCAACAACTACAACCATCTACAAAACAGTGCAATGTCTATTCATAGGCACGATGGGATACAATACAGCACAGAGGGGAGGAGGAGCACTATACACTCTCATACAGTATGTTACGCACACGCACACACACAGACACACACACACGGACTGAACACAGTAGAGACATCAGCAGCAGCTCTAGCCTGGTGGTGTTTGTGGTGCAGCCTGCAGCGACAGGGTGCTGAACACGGCTGCTGCTGAAGGAGAGCCGACGGTAGGGAACCAGGAGCAGGGCGGAAACCTGCTCCCGCACTGACTTCCGCTCACGCTCTCGCTCTGATGTGCACGACGGGAGAGCAGCTGAGGTGTAGAAAGCTTGGCCAGGTAGATAGGTGGTGCTGGGATGGGAGAGCCAACAGGTGCCGGGTGCTTTAACCCGTGGTCTGACATCCGGTCTGCACCGCCTCCTTTCGCTGGTTCTGACCACTCGCGCTGGCATCCAGAATCCTTTGCACAAAGTCTTTCGTCCGCCCAGCGACTAAGGGACCTACATTTGGCAAATGACAACAAACGAGGAACCAGGAATGAAATTATAAAACTGAAACTTAGCCTGATAGAGCACTGAATTATGGCTACAATAAATAGTTACTTTACCCATTGGTGATTGGACTAATAATTGGACAGGGTGAAGTGATTAACAGAAGTTTATTTTTGATGGATGGATGGATGGATGGATGGATGGATGGATGGATGGATGGATGGATGGATGGATGGATGGATGGATGGATGGATGGATGGATGGATGGATTATGATGGATGGATGGATGGATGAAGGATGGATGGATTATGATGGATGGATGGATGGATGATGGATGGATGGAGATGGATGGATGGATATGGATGGATGGAAGGATTATGATGGATGGATGAAGGATGGATGAAGGATGGATGGATTATGATGGATGGATGGATTATGATGGATGGATGGATGGATGGATGGATGATGGATGGATGGAGATGGATGGATGGAGATGGATGGATGATGGATGGATGGATGGACGAAGGATGGATGGATTATGATGGATGGATGGATGGATGGATGGATGGATGGATGAAGGATGGATGGATGAATGGATGAAGGATGGATGGATGGATGGATGAATGGATGAAGGATGGATGGATGGATTATGATGGATGGATGGATGGATGGATGAAGGATGGATGAAGGATGGATGGATTATGATGGATGGATGGATGGATGGATGATGGATGGATTATGATGGATGATGGATGGATTATGATGGATGGATGAATGGATGAAGGATGGATGGATGGATGGATGAAGGATGGATGGAGATGGATGGATGGATGATGGATGGATGGAGATGGATGGATGATGGATGGATGGATGGATGGATGGATGGATGAAGGATGGATGGATTATGATGGATGGATGGATGGATGGATGAAGGATGGATGGATTATGATGGATGGATGGATGGATGGATGAAGGATGGATGGATTATGATGGATGGACGAAGGATGGATGGATTATGATGGATGGATGGATGGATGGATGAAGGATGGATGGATTATGATGGATGGATGAATGGATGAAGGATGGATGGATGGATTATGATGGATGGATGAATGGATGAAGGATGGATGGATGGATTATGATGGATGGATGAATGGATGAAGGATGGATGGATGGATTATGATGGATGGATGGATGGATTATGATGGATGGATGGATGGATGGATGGATGGATGGATGGATGAAGGATGGATGGATTATGATGGATGGATGGATGGATGGATGATGGATGGATTATGATGGATGATGGATGGATTATGATGGATGGATGGATGGATGGATGAAGGATGGATGGATGGATGAAGGATGGATGGATGGATGGATGAAGGATGGATGGATGGATGGATGGATTATGATGGATGGATGGATGGATTATGATGGATGGATGGATTAGGATGGATGGATGGATGGATGAAGGATGGATGGATGATGGATGGATGGATTATGATGGATGGATGATGGATGGATGGATGGATGATGGATGTCTTAACAAAGCAAACCATAAATATATAATATTGGATGAACTTTTGCATATATATTACAAATTACTCTCAAACCTTTTTCTTAATTTAAAAATAAATTTCTTATAATTTTCCTTTTGAAACTTTTTTTTTTTGCTTTCAATAATATTTGCCAGGTCAGTTAAAAGCTTTCTGTCTCACCGCTGGACTCTTTAAGGATGTCTTCAAGACGTTGGGTCATCCCACGTTCGTCTCCATCTTCCTCCTCACTGCTCTCCACCCGCCGGCGGATCACCTCTTTAATCCGTAGCAAGGCCCCCAAAAGGTTTTCTGCAAAGTAGGAAGGAAAGCTAAATCAAGCCTCTAAAGGGAAGGATGGTCAAGATGAAGACAAGTAGCTTTCAAAGACTCTAAAAAGCACATCAAATCCACATGAAGCCTGAAATGATTAGAGTTCATTATTCTGGCTGGGGTTCCCAGCACCAAGACGCCGATCAGGATTACCCAGTTGAGCTGACAGAGATTATTTTTAGAAAAAAGTTCCTAAAACTGGCGAAGGGGCGAAATGAACTGAAGTTGACCTCAGCAGATATCAGAGGGCAGATACTAAGCTATCAATCTCGGCCTGACATGGAAGACGCTCGGGTGGGAAACGTTGGCATCTCAGGTAAAGGTGTGGTCTTTGCGGTGGAATGATGGCCAAAAGCTGTCAACTTTAAAATTCTCTGAGTCACATTTTATGAATTATAAATGTAGTTTTTTCTTATAAATAAACTAAACCTGGACAATAATTTTTTTTTTTATATTCTCAAATTCCTTATTAATGAAAGGCCCACAAAAGACAATGTTTGGTTTGGTATATATACATATTTGGTATATATACATATATATGTGTTTATTCTCTGAATTCAAAGAACCTTTTGCTTCGTTTGACAAAGTTTATCTAACAGGTCTGCTAAAATCTGCTTTGAGTCAAAGCTGCTAAATGTTTCAGGTTCTGTTTAATATAAGATTAAACTAAGAGCAGATGGAATGGTTAAAAGAAGAAACCTGCTTTGTGTTGCTGTTAAAAATTACTTTAATTTCACAGTAAAATACCCTGAAAAGATAAAAAGCTGCCTGGCCTGGGGGCCAAGTGTGCATCATTTTTAAGTTAAGGTTGGGGGCCGCACTAAATTATCTCAAGGAACATGAATGGCGGTTAATAAGCTAACTATGATGCTAAAGACAGCTTAAACTCCTCATGCTTCTGAAACCTTCCTGCTCCTTTTCACACAGTTACCGCAGCCTGAACAAAAAGCCAACAAACCTACCTAGAAATGATTGTTTCTGTTTAAACACCTTCCTAAAGCTTTCATTTTCCTCTGAATTCGTCTCAACACTTTACTGATCTTAAAAGAAAGCTACATATGACACCACTTCCTGTGGCAACGACTTCCCCACTGAAGAGTGTTGTGGTTACTGAGAACTTTCTAGCAACTGCTATTTGGTGATTTCACTGACCAGAATCAGAATAGGATGTTTTAATTTTCCATACCAGACAATTCAAATAGTCCCAGTGGAACAAACTGGAGACTGGCTGGAGACTCCTAAAAGTCCATACGCATAATAAATACTCGTAGAAACTGCTCTTCAAGCTCATTTTGGAAGTTTCAAGTGTGCAGAATCAAAACATTGAGGCCCTCTATACATCCCTACAAGAGTTCATGCTCCTCTCTGTGCTCTCCTGCTTTTTCCTTTTTGATAAAGCTTTTAGTTAGAGTAGCTCAGGTTATCCTGAGCTATCTATAAAGTTATGCTGCTACAGGCTTAGACTGCTGGAGGACATAGGGACCCTTATTTCATCATTCTGCTTCATTCTATCTCTATTCTCCCACGCTGCAGAATCTGTTAGTTCTACCTCTAACGTTATGCACACTCAATAAATGACGTGTTTTAATTAAGAGTAATTTTCATTTAAATGTGCTTTACTGGAGACATCCATGTTTGTCAAAGAACACTACTGCCACCTACTGGTTTGAGACGTCACGGTATCGGTATCGGCTGTTAATCAAGTCCAAGTTCTGTATCTGGTGTTTGTCACAACGCGCTATTATCCAAGTCATCTTGAAAACATTCTTCTTCCAAATGTTGACTACATATTACGAGTTTTTTCTCTGGCCAGAAGTTCGATGGCAAATCCTCCCTCTTCAAGTTGGCAATTCAACGACCAACCCGTCCGTGGAGGATCAGGAATCAGAAAGGTGGAATAACTATTTTTTTTCCCACTTTTACCCGATGTATTCCAACATCCAGCTGCCATGCACGTGGGCATTGTCAGTTTCACTATAGCTCTGGTGAATTTCAATGGTGAAGTCCTCTGGAAATCTTCAATAATTGTTGTTGATTGCAGATGTGTCTAGTAGTTCCCATTGATTTTGCCTGTAAAGCTGGGGGAATGGCGCTAGGCTTACCGCACCGTGATGTCACTGCAGGAAGATGGCAGGAGGGAGGGGTTACCATATTTGGGCAAAAATGGCCGCTCCCAGACTCAGTGATCATGACGAAAATGATTGTTTTTATTTTATTTTTTTTACTGATTAACGCTAAATTCATTTAATCACCTCGAACTTATTAGTTTTAGGTATAGATAATGATCCAGTGATTATTCCTTACTGGCCGGATTTTTCCTTTAAATTTGTTATTTCTATGCACCTGTGTTTCCTTAATTGTTCTGCTATTTGCACCTGTTTTACCCTTTAGTTATGGGTTTTGTCCTACTGTCTGCCCGAACCCCTAAATCCCTCAATCACTATATAGAGCGGAGATTATATAGTGAACTCAGTTAACTGACCGGACAGATGATCACTATTTTTGCTCCCCATTGGTGACGTAACTCTGTCTCCACCGCGCGGATCTTCTGCCATCTTTGTTATTTATTGCTGGCACCTCAAATCCCATGATGCTTTACAAGGAGAGCTCTCCTCGCAAAGCATTCTGGTATATAACTGCTCGTCTAGTGATCATTGATGATTACTACTTTTCAAGGTGCATTGTGGGAAATCTCGAGTCGACTACTTTTTCATCCACTAGACGATTGGACACTCGTATAGAATGATGTAACAGCTATATTAGAGATGTCCCGATCCAGGTTTTTGCACTTCCGATCCGATACCGATATTGTTTTTGGACTTCCGATCCGATACCGATACTGGCCGATACCAGCCTATCCGAGCATGTATTTAAGTTTAAGTTAAAGTATTTAGCCTTAGTTGTAAGACTCATGTTGGAAAGGGTTTTAGTACTCTTGATAACATCTAGCCAGCTAAATTAGGTGAGATTGAATAAAACACAATGCTTGGTAACAATAAACTTACCTGTTTATTAAGAGATAAACACAAACTGGACAAAATTATGAATAGCAATCTGAAATTGCACAGTGATAAGTAAAACCGTAAACAGTTAAAGTTGCAAGTATTACTGTTTTAATAAAAGTAAAAGTTTTAATAAAAATGCAAAACAAGGAAACACTGGCGCAAAATAGTGGAATGGATCGTTTCAATCGGCGAAACTGGAAAATACGGATCAGATTTTTTTTTTAAAAACTGGATCGGCAGTCTGGATCGGCATTTTACATGCTTTGCCGATACGCATTTTTTTGCCAATATCGGCGTCCCGATCCGATACGTGGATCGGATCGGGGCAAGCCTAAGCTATATAGTGATTAAGGTGAACGTTCATAGGCCAGGTACACACAAAGACCAACAATGACAGCGCTGTAGTCCACATGCCAGGTACCTTGGTGGCGTTGTGACACTATCACAGGATGACTACAAACCACTGCACATGCGGAGACAATGCTTGGTTAAATAGATAGATTGAGCTACAATGTCGTCATAAAAAAAGTAGCCTGCATGAAAACTCTCAGACATGAAGCCGGTAATATCTGTTGTTTTTTGGTTTTGTTTTTTTTATTCTGGGACCCAGTTCTGAAAAATAATGGTTTATGCTTTCCCAAAATGCCGTCTCGGTCTGGATACACAGCTAAAACAACAAATCGTTGCTGTTACATCTAATCTTGTCTCTTGTCATGTGGAAGAGTTTTCATTCGTTTGTCAGTATTCGTCAGGCCCTCAGTTCATTTCTATGTCTCTTGTTACTGGTTTATCTGTCTAAACCACTTCATTAACTTGCTCTTCATTTTGGTCCAGATGAAGTGATTACTATATATATATATACACAGGACTGTCTCAGAAAATTAGAATATTGTGATAAAGTTCTTTATTTTCTGTAACGCAATTAAAAATCATGAAATGTCATACATTCTGGATTCATTACAAATCAACTGAAATATCGCAAGACTTTTATTGTTTTAATATAGCTGATTATGGCGTACAGCTGAAGAAAACTCAAAAATCCTATCTCAAAATATTAGAATATCGTGAAAAAGTATACTAGTAGGCTATTCAACTAATCACTTGAATCGTCTAATTAACTCGAAACACCTGTAAGGGTTTCCTGAGCCTTGAAAAACACTCAGCTTGGTTCAGTAAACTAAATCACAAGTATGGGGAACACTGCTGATTGTGACTGATGTCCAGAAGACCATCATTGACACCCTCCATCAGGAGGGTAAGACAAAAATAAATTTCTCAAAGAGCAGGCTGTTCACAGAGTGCAGTTTCAAAGCACATTCACAAAAAGTGTGTTGGAAGGGGGAAATGTGGCAGGAAACGCTTCACAACCAAGAGAGGTGACCGCAGCCTTAACAGCATTGTGAAGAACAGCCGCTTCCAGAATGTGGGGGAGCTTCAAAGACAGTGGACTGAAGCTGGAGTCCAGGTATCAAAAGCCACTGTTCACAGACGTGTCCGGGAAATGGGCTACAATAGCCGTATTCCCATTGTCAAGCCACTTCTGAACTCAAGACAACGGAAGAAGCGTCTGACTTGGGCTATGGAAAAGAAGCACTGGACAGTAGAGTGGTCCAAAGTCCTCTTTTCAGATGAAAGCAAGTTTTGTATGTCATTTGGTAGTCAAGGCGCCAGAGTCTGGAGAGAGGCTGGAGAGGCGCAAAATCCAAGTTGCTTGAAATCCAGTGTGAAGTTCCCACAGTGGGCGATGGTTTGGGGAGCCATGTCAGCTGCTGGTGTTGGTCCAGTGTGTTTCATCAAGTCCAGAGTAAATGCAGCTGTGTACCAAGAGATTTTAGAGCACTATGGAGATGATGATTTCAATTTCCAGCATGATCTGGCACCTGCCCACACTGCCAAAACCACCAGTAACTGGTGTACTGACCATGGCATTACTGTCCTTGATCTGCCTGCCAATTCCCCTGACCTGAACCCCAT